CCAGAGTAAGCTGTCCTCAGGTCTGGCCATCTCTTCAGAACACAGGGCAACATTTTAAACACCACCTCTTGCTCCCAGAAATATACAGTTACAGTTGAAGAAAGTCCTGAGAATTCACAGGAATTTAACATCTCTTAAAGGAGATCAACCTTCTGCAGCACATGCCTGTATTTCTAACATAATGCATGTTCATGACCTGGCAGATATACCAAATACGACATGGCAGGGAAATTTCCTTGGCATAGCCAGTGTTTTTTTGGACAGGATTTCAATCAATATAATGGGAGCCTGGTCAGATGTCTAGAGCATAGGGCATATCAGCAAAGACTCTGGCAATCTAGGGAAGGGATCGTGGTAGATGTTATTAAGTCTATATTCCCTCCTACTTAAATTCTAGTCTCAGAAAAGTCCCAGGTAACTCAAACTAACTTTGGCCAAGGAATAAAGACTAAAAAAATTCTGACTTCTATTTCATTAATTTCAAAAGCTGCCAGAAGGAAGTGTTGGAAAGCCTGACCTGACAGGGGGGTGGTTGTTCCCCTTACTGATGTGGAAGTATAGAGCTCATCTGAGCTAGCATCAGTGCCTGACAGCTGGACGCTGAAAACATGTTAACAGAATCTTCTTGAGGAGGAAAAAGTAAAAAACACCATTCAGCCTTCTCACACCATTTGATGGCATCATGCAGAAGCAGAAAACTGCAGCTCCCGAAGCCCACCGTTAACACCAAGCAAGAATCAGCATGAGAAGTGTGACCAGTGTAAATGAAAACCCCTGACAGATGGATCTCTTCTGCAGCTCTTCCTGGTATGAGCATTCCTAAGCAATATAAAGAGTTTAAATATTAGGCCTTAATTTTCCTTCAGAAAAGACCTGCTGGAAGAGGGAACAGTTAGCAGCAACACTGGCTAAAACAGTTTCATCCACAAATATTTTTCCGCAAACGATTTTGCTGGAGATGATTTTTCTTCCCAACTTAAGATACACAGAGGCATAGCAAAAACGTTCAGTATCCTGAACACAGTGAACACTACCTGGCACATGCCACGTGGAGCTTCCAAAACACCAAGTAAGATTTCACAATTTTCACACCAAGAATCACGCGTGACAGTGACTGAAACAAGAGCAGCACATTACAGTGTGCCATATGGGCATTTGTCAGAACATCGGTCAGACACCAGTACCTCTCAGGTCTGGAGAATAAGCAGGTTTCATATCAGAACTTGTCCATTTTCATTTCACCTACTGGCCACAGATCAGATGAGAATGTGCACAACATCTGTCGGCAGCTGATACTGTGCATCTTGCAGCTGTAATGTGAGCATCTCGCAGACATGTAAGCCTTGTACACTTGGGCATTTCAGAAGAACATGACGAAGGTGTGTGAGACCTGGTACTTAATCCATCTGAGTTTACCCAACAAATCTTTACACAGAACAAAATAGAAAAAAAAAGACAGTGTATTATCTGGGTTCTCATAATAGAAGAGGATCATCCACAGCAGAGTTGAGGAAAGGGCCTGAGTAATTGCACTTTAAATTATGGCAGGCATCGGCAACAAATTCTACATGTGTACGGTCATGAAGACTGCTGCCCCGATAGAGCAGGGTACAGAGGGTTTATCTGCCTGTATCACGTAAGCATGGGGCATCCGGACACCTAGCACAGTACACAAACCCATGCCAGTGCAGCTTTGCTAGGACTGCCTAGAGGTCTGGGTATTTTAAAACATCTCAAGAACAAGGTATTGTGTTGTTCATGAAGATCACAGCCAGTAAGCTTCAAGCATGAGATCACTCAGAGACACGTGCACACACACACACTTTTCCTCTAACAGCTCTTAGAAACCACTGGTGTGTGTTCTCTTACCACAGTCCCTTCTCTGCCTTCTTTTAAAAGATCAATTTAGAAACAAATTGATATTACATTTTAAGAAAAAAAAATCACTGATCTCTCACTGTTATTGTTTCCGAAGTCCTAAAACAACTACTTTTATTACCAAAAGAACTTGCTCAACGAAAGCTGCACTTGAAAAAGATCAAGTAAAATCTGAACTGGAGCTGGGGATTCAGTTCAGTATCTCAACATGTAAACAGAAGGTTTTACCTAACTGAGAAGTCCAGGCAACTCCTACTAAGACCAACCAGAAGATTATAATTGACTTTACAGAGATTTAGATAGTGCTCAAGCAGAGAAAGCCAGTTTTCAAATGCAGAAGTCTCGTGTGCTGACTTTTCGTGGGGCTTCGTTTGCGCTCCAGTCACACTGAGACTTTTGTTAAACAAGGGCTTGAAGCCGGACAGGTGTTCAGTGATGCAGATTGGTCAAGCAAACTAACAGCAGACACCTCAGGCTTTGGGCAACTCCATCTAAAGGCCTGCAAACAGATTTTAAAGCTGTCCCTCTCTTTTCATAGAGGTTGACTGGTTAAAAAGCCAGTCCCCAATTCAAAAGCACAGACAAAACTATTCTCTGACTGTGCGATGTATCACATCAGGACTAAAACCAGGCACGTATTTTTAAACTCATTCACTTAACACAGTATTTACTTCCTAGACTTTGATCTCGGCATCTCCTCTGACAACGTCAAATTCTTGGGTAATTCACATGTAACACAGCACTAAAGAAGAAAAACCAGTTTTAGCTGTATTGACTAAGCATCTTTTTTCCCCGTGACAGCTCACGTTTTTACCAGTAGAGCAAAAAACCCTTTGCCAATGGTTTGGAATGAAAGTTACATCAGATGTATATGTACAGGTGTGTTGATGGTCTGACCTGTTAAAAAAAAAAAAAAACAACAAACCAACGCAAAACCAATCCTCAAAACAGAGCACTGAAACCATTACGCATTGAAAACAAGCATTGTACACATCCACTACTCTCCCAAAACAAGTCACAAGTGCAATATCCTTTGAAAAAAATTGCTCCTCAAAGGAAACTCGGAGGCAGAGCTTTTTAGTGTTATGTTTAGTAAGATAATGTGGGCATGTGTTTGAAATCACAGGTTGGAATTTTTTTTAATTTTTTTTTTTATAAGGCAAGAGGTTTACGTTCCAGAAGAATAGATGGGGTAAAGAATGAAGAGATGTTTTGAAAATGACACATGCTTTCAAGTTTCATTCTCATTTGACATACATATTACAAAATAAAGATTTTTAAAAGTGCTATATGCTTTGTAAGTTTCATCACAATACGTAAAGCAAAATTTTACACCTGCTGCCTAAGACAAAGTGTTAGTGGCAGCGTCAGCGGTAGATTAGACTCTAGCTCTCTCATTTCTCTCAGTGTCTAAGACAATCTCCTTCATCACACTCAAACAACAGGCAAACAAACAACCCGCACTCTACTCATGTTGCAGAATAATTTAGAGTCATATTCTAAAGTAACAGACTCCATGAAGTTGATGACGTTCACTAGCGGCTTGCTTGATACCAAACCCAAGGCTCACTCTACCCAGTATCCTGCGGCTCTTTGATCAGCTAATACAGAGACAAAACGTTGAGAGGTATGTAACAATGACGACATTGACAGATATGCCAAAGGGATTTAAAAAAAGTCCAACAAAAAACAAATGTAAAAAAATTCATCCACCAGCCCTCAGCTGTTAGTTGATTTTAAAAAGGTAGAGTAGTTTGCAGTAAACAATGATATTTTAAATCCTCAAGGACATACAGAAACACTTCTCCCACCCAGCATCAGATGTGAAGGATTTCTGCAGCACGGTCTTCTGTCTCTGTGTAATGTGAAGAGTTTGTGTCTGAATGACGAACCCCAAGCATTTCTTTACTTTCGAAGTTTGGCTCCATTAGTGCAGGTTTTTCAAAAATATTCTTTTTGCTAGTTTCGGGACAGTTTTGTACATATATTACTCGGTTATAAGCTTTAAGTCTCTTCCACAGCTGTATGTACACTTTGCATTGTACATACATGAACAGAAGTCCCCCAGTGAAACCAATAGCCACAACCACCAGCTTAGTCCAAAATGGCCACTCTAGAATCCCTGTAAGAAAGAAAATTAGAAAAAAAGAAAGAAAAAGGACCAGGTCAGTATCGTCTGGACTACATTGGATCTCTCAAAAGTATCCTTTAGGGAAACAGTCACGGAGTCTGGGCCATGCAAACTATTCTTATTTTGCCATTTTTCTTGTTTGGCCTTTTTTTTTTCCCCCCTTCAAGTCAAACACATGCAGACTTCTACTTCACATACTACATTTATTCTCATCCACCATAGGAAAAATAAAACAATTGATCCTTTGTGTCTGAGCCCTTCTGCAGCACAATCACAAAGAGTGAAAGCAACAGCCAGTAATAAGTTTATGTCTTTTTACACCTGTTTTTAAAGTAAAATTGGATCAGATTATGAAAGGGATTCTATGGCATTGTTTCCTTTTCATAGCAGGAAGCTCAACCCAAGAAGTCCGTTCCACTCTGAGATCACTGTGACAACATTGAGCCATAGTCTTTAAACTCAAAAGGGAACAACTGGTACCATCTAGCTTGACGTGTTTGTTATGTATACCAGAAAATTTTATCTGCCTCAGACCCAGTAACTTGTAGTTGAACTAAAAATCTCTCTTCTGATGCAAAACTGCAAGTGTTGGAGATGCTGAAGCATTCTGGCAAGCTCCCCCTCCATGTTAAAAATGATCGCCGTTTGAGAGACTATTCATTTCACACATCTTCTGCTTACATAGGTCCTGTATCCACCTGGTTTCTCTCCTCTTTAATGATAAGTGGCATCACAAGATGGATATGAAACCATGCTGAATCACCCACTACCAGGGTTCTCAGAAAATAAAACCATGGCCTCCCAAGTATTTGAAGCTTTTACCAAGATACAGGCCAATGTTCTTTTGGAAATACATGGTAGCGTGGGAGGAATGAAAATATTTTAGTCCAAAAATACAAAGGGTACTGCAATGTGACTACTGATGAAATCGCACCCATGATTAATACCTGAACCTCTGATTCACAGGTGAACTATCTGATGCCATCTGTAGGCAGTGACAGCATACGCTTGCCCCTGTGGAGACACGAATGTGTACCCACACACACTCCCCACGCCCCTCCAGCTCATGACAGGACTCCCTAGATACAGAATCCAAACGAAGGGAGCAAAGGAAGCATTGTAACAAGTGCTAAATATTCACACTAATCCTCCTATTTGCGTTCATCTAATATATTTATTGGCTAAAATAACCTGGAGACACTTTGAAAGCATATGTTTTTCATTATCATACAGAAATCTTGCACTGAAAGGCCAACAATTTTCAGCACACATGGAAGAGATGGGGTTGGATGGAACAGAAATGTAAAGATTTGATTTAAAGCAGCTTCCTGACTTCCTGACAGTTGTCATGAACAATCAAACTACAAATGAGAAACAACAGCAAAACTGTTCAGTTTGAAGTGTGATTCTGCTCTGAAGAGACTGTAACAGCTCTGTGGATTTGCAGGTTTATTGATGAAACCTACCTCAGCTACCTCCCCAGATGATGCTCTTCAATCACCAGCAAAACATTTTCCAACTGCATGTCTAGTTGGCACGCAATGTCTGTGAGCAAGGACAGCTTGCCTTCTGATGGCTCCCAGCCTTGGTAGATACCCTGTCCCTTCCAAACCCGCCTTCATGGGCAGCTCAGCTGCCTGAGAAACAGTTCTGTGACAGCTGCAAATTTGCAGCTCAGCACACCCAGGTAAATAGATTTTGGTTCAGTAAGTTTACAGCTGGTACACTAAAGAAAAACTACTATTCAAGAAGTTAAGACATCCCTGCAGTGGGGTGGCAGCCACAACATGAATTGCAGTGCACCTCCTCTCAACTGTGCGAACTAGAGTTCTAAGAATCAACCTGAATGTCTTCTGCTTCAGGCACAAGCACCGATAAAAATTTCTTCAGTCTAACATGGCGCTCAGAGGAAACTTGTGCTAACCCACCTCACAGATGACCGAATAGAAATAAAACCCTGTTGATTTACCTCAAAGATTTGGATTTAGGTTCCTCTTACTTCTTCTCTTTTTAAAAACTGTTCTGGTTTTGGCCAGTAGCCATAGCGGCAAACAAATGCTCACGTCCTTATCTGCTCAGCAAGTGTTCCAATTCAAAACTAAATTAGCTAAGGCACTGCAATTTTGTGTCTGGCTACAGTGGATTAGCTCTCATATCTGTGCATTTCACAAGTGCAAACTAAATTGACTTGAAAGAGACTTAAAAAGCACCCACCGATGAATTTACACGGATTTAAACAAACCATTTTAGAACAGTGCTTTTACACCAACCCAACCTCAGGCTAAAGCTGACTAGTCTAAGTATAAACATGACCTGCACACTCATGCTCTGCATCCTCTCTACATTCAAGATAAATAATTATTCCAAGAGAACAAGTGGGAAGATAAGCAAGTAACATACCAGTAGTCTGTCCTTGTTTAATCTCTTCAGCAGTCCTGTCTATCAGGACATAGAGAGACCACACAACACAGGTGATGGCAATGATGTGGAATGTTACAGAGCACATGATCTTCCTCCTCTCGCTGGCCGTCATCTGCAGCTTCTCCCACTGGCAAGAAACCCAGAAGCAGAGCAAGAGATTAGGTGTTTACTGTAGTTACTAGAGAATAAGCAAAGAGAACATTGATAAGAACAAAAACCAGGCAGGAGACCAGTTTCCCCCTAACACGGATTTTAAAAGTCAGATGGCATATTGCTCCAACCACAGCATGCGTGTGACAGCAGGCAGCTCACCCTGCTGCAACGGGAGCGGTCCTGGTGCCGGAGGGGACCTCCAGCACTCAGCTCCGATCTGGAGCCTCGGCACAACGTCATCACACCCTGCTTACCCACGCAGGCACAACTCCAGCACAGAGGGACCCTAATGGGAGGTCTTGTGCTGCGTGAGCGAGGCTGCTCCTTCGTGCGTTCCCCACTCGACAGCAGATGCTCATAGTCACCGCTGAGCATCATGAGTAGCAAAGGGTACCCTTGCTCAGGCAGACGTTCAATAAAACACTGCAAGGAAAATGGTACATGATCCAATTGACTGGTGCGTGCAAGACATCTCAAGCTGAGCTCTGTTAGAGTCCCTTGGTGCACAGTCAAGGCTGTTTAGTTCTCACCTCCTACCTCCAAGGGTTTCATTCAATCTTCACATATATCTAACACTACTTACAGCAGCGACACCCATATTTTATTTTCAGTGTTTTGAGTGCACTTAAATACATGTAGAATATACAATGTACAAGAATATACAGTAAAACTGGGATGACAGCTTTTGTAAGTGAGAGGTCACAGCAAATTAAATCCCCAGACCTGCATCTATCAACAATGTTTATACAGCTCAAATAGAAACCACAAAGTCAGGCTGCAGTCATTTAGGAAAGATACAAAGAAACTAGACAATTATTACAGATGTTTCTAACTTTTCAAAAACAGCTTGCTTTTTTTTTTTTTTCACCTCAACACCCGGAAGCTTTTTTTAAAATTATTTATTACAATTTCCCTATGTATACAATTAAAGTTTTTACACATGGGTTACACATCCCTTAGCGTATCTGCCTGGAACAGAGAGTTAAAATGGGCTTTTCTCACACTTTCACAAACTATATGCTGGGGCACATAAGCTTCTCATAAATACCTATGTGTTTCTAGAGAAGTGCATTTGATGTCTCCTAGAAAAATTTGTAGAAAAAGAGGACTTAGAAAAGGAGGAATAATGTGGAAGACAGTGAAGATGACCTGACTGGTATGACTGAGATCACCCGTTACATTTTATTTCCACTACTACAAATACAAGAATAGTTGAAACTTGAAACAGAGACTTTGTGATTCTTTCCATCTTGCCAACAATCTGGTCAGTCCAGGTCTGTGGGCATCCGAATCTCATCATGGCACAAGAATTGAAGACTTCCACCAATGACATGCTAGACATGTCATGCTAGAAAGTTACATTCTTTCAATCTTCTCAGAAAAAGATTGGACAAAACATTCCCTTTGGATGTTGTGTTTTAAACAGAGAATTTGCTTTTCCATCTAAAAAAGGAGTTCACTTTTGACAGAAAGTATAAATTCATTTCTTTTGTCAAATGAAATCTATTTGTGAATGGTCCTACAGAGCCATGAGGAGTTATGTTTTGACTAAGTTATATTTCTCTTTTCTGTTCCACAGTTTGAGCTCCTCTGCTGAACAAATCTCTCGTGAACTGACGGCTCCACAGCCACCGAACCAACTTATACCACCTCATCTCTTCAAGAGATATGACTGCACAGCAAAAGAAGATATTCTGCAAACTATCCACTAGCCCAGAGAGGAAACTAGAATCTGTAGGTCCTTGCTGCATTATTCCGATGACACAGCATGCGGCATTTCCCAATTAAAATAGTCAGCATTTCTGTGGTTTTGAAGTGTTGTTAAAACAAAAAATTCAGCAGAAAATTGAATGTCCTTTTTTTCCCCATTGAAATTTTAAAACAGAGTATCCCTCTCATCTCCCCTCATCTTCACTTAAACTATGACACATTTTTTTCTCATTCTCTTCCCTTAGTAACTTAGTGTTTGAACAGACCAATACAGTGCTGCGACACAACCTTAACATCTGAAGACATTTAATTCCATTTCTACCCTACAGACAAGCACAAGCCCTGTTATTCATCCCATCCTGTTTGTAATCACCAGTTCCAGACTGTTTTCTCCTGACTGACAAGATACCATAAAGGCTGAGTTGAAGATACAGAGGTGGCTCATCTTCTGGCTGCAGCTGAACCTCTAAAAGACTCCAGATATATTTGAGAGGTAAATTCCTTCTTCTCCTTCTGTTCATGGCTCTGTCCCTACCTTCTGGCACCCGGTCTCTTTCCCCTGGATGACCTTTCAGATATATGCAACGATGCTTGTGGTTGCCCCATCCCTGGAAGTGTTCAAGGCCAGGTTGGACGAGGCTTTGGGCAACCTGGTGTAGTGGAGGATTTCTCTGCCCATGGCAGTGGGGTTGGAACTAGATGATCTTTAAGGTCCCTTCCAACCCTAACCATTCTACGATTCTATGCTGAGTAACTCATTTCTGAAGGAGCCCAACAGCTTTTTCCCACAGGGCACAAATATTCAGAAAATGCTTCCCACCCACTCCACGCACAGAAAAAACAGCAGCTGATTGCCAACTATAGCAACTCTTCTTACTTGGGATTCTCTAGAGTCATTACTTTAATGTCCTACAGCTGGGCTGTGCAAAGTGTTGTCTGTACAGATAACAGAGCCTACGACAGCCAACACTGCAGCTCAGAGATACTATGCTCTGTGCCAAGGGGCTATCAAGGAAAAATCTGCACTTCTTAGAAGGCAGTGATTTGCTGCAGTCATAAGCAAAGGTTGTCCTACCAACTGACAGGACACAAGCAACCTGTACATTTCTGTAAAAAACAAAGATGTGTTTGAAATCTGCTCTATTTTCTGCTAGGAATCACTTTTAGGAATCGGACAGCTTCTCGCAACAGCTTTCAGATGGCTGCAGTAGGGACTTCCCACCCTGCATGATTTAGGCTTATGATAATTTAATTTAACATTTCTCATTTATTCTAGTTCCAGATTGAGATTATTGTTATTAAACTCTTCCACTTTGGTAGACATGACAAGATTTGTCTGTGCTAAGAATACCAGTGACTTCCATCTCAAAATCCTGATGGTAAGGACCAATTCAACTGGAAAGCCTGGGGGATGTGGGAGAACAAAAAGGACACAAGCGCAAAACTGGCCTTACAATACAAGTAGCATTGAAGCACCTATACTTTAAGTCACCAGATTTATGAAAGGTACTTTCCTGTAAAACAAAAATATAGGTTCTAGCAACCTGAAGTACTAAAACCTAGTCATTCACAGTCTAAAAAAAGGTAAAAATTAGAACATATTTATTGGTGAACCTCCTTCTACTCGCACTGTAATATTTTCACTAAAATAGGTTTGCTCCTTTAAAAAGGTACAATTTTAAACCAAATAACACTCAGAAAGTGTGATTTAAAGGAATTTTAACCTGAAATCCTCATATTTTCAAGACAACTTAAAAGCCATGTGGATCTCGGAGCAGCAAACTACAGCAGGTAACAGTAAAACAAAACTCCATATTTAAAAAAACCCGTAGGTAACTGCAGAGCAAATACCTTTGTGTATCAACTCTAAAACGTAACTGTAAAGAAAAAACATCATGTTGCTGCATGCACATATGCACGTGTGTGTGTATGTATGTACATTTACACACAGAGAGCTGCTGGGCTACAATCGTTAACTCTCAGAGCTGGATTCCACTGATGTTGAATTTGCCAGGCTGTGTTAATCTAAATTCTTTTGCACCTATACAAAACTGACCAGACTTACTAAGGAGCCACAGAAACATGACAAATACGTGGGGAGTGCTGTAGGCTCATGGGCAAGGACTGCCTCTTTTCAGAGTGGATCTGTGTTTAACAAAGTATTTCCTCGGGGAAGCAGGTCTTGTGCCTACCTTCCGCAAAGGCTTCAGTTTTGTCTCCATGATGAACTCGTACTTGCACAGTTCACAGCACCGTGTATCTGAGCTCTTGATCCATTGCTGCAGGCAGGCTTGGTGCACAAAATGAAGACTTCCCGTGCAGTGACAGGGTGTAATCAAAGGGCTCTCATCATCTCCTTCACAGTGACATATCCTGAATCAGAAGCAAAGCTGCTCATTAGGAGAAGAGGAAGCAGAAAGGATGTGGAAGGGGCATGTAATATCTGTGATCACATTCAGTTGTCCACTCAGGATCCTGAGACATACATATCAAAGGAATGTGTTCCATAAAGGAGCTAAAGCTAAAGAACTCCCTTGCTGCGCAAGCACATACACAGGCACAAAATAATGGAGCACAGACATTGCTAACTAGACAGCTGCTTTCTAACAGATGAGGCGGATGCACAGAGCCTGACAGAAATGCAGTATCCAAAAGAAAAAACAGGGTAAGAAATGACAACGCTTCATCTAGAACAACAGCACTTAACTGAATATAGCATTTAAACAGATCAGACAGCACTTTCCAAGACAAAATACGCAGAAAGAGGTACAGCTACTCATGGATTACGATCTGAAACTGAAGATAACACAAAATTCCCAAATCAATGGTGAAAGCCAGCCCCAGTATCATGAAGAGTTAATTTAGACAGCCTGGATTTTGCACAAAAGAAGTGATTTTTTCTAGTGCCAATTGCTAAGAGACAGATTCCCACTGCAAAGCCACAGCACTGAATCTCCTCAAAATACAGCTACTCTATATGATCTAATGGCTTTACTATCCAATTCTTACTTTGCAAGAGCTGCTAAGGAAGCAAGCATCGGCTCTGCAAAACTCGTTTCCCTCACAGCCTAACTGTGCAGACAGCAAGGACACCCGATATACCATTACTACCAGGTGCTGGCATTTGATTTACAGCTTCAATTTATACACAACTCTTGGGTTGCATCAAACATCACTAAGTCCTTCTAACCGTGAGGAAGAGGTCATGAATTGAAAGGGGGATGGTAAGGAGCTCAGGGAATGAATATAAGTTACTAAGCATATGTGAAGTACACCCTGGCAGGCTGCCATCCCTGTCTATTACTAAAAATCTCTTACTGATGTGTAGCATCTTGCCTCCTGTGACCTTGCTGATAGCTGGCAAGTGGAAATGAAGGAGTGGGTGGATTACAAGAGCGTCTTGTTGGTGACAAGCCAGTACGGAACTAGATTTTGCTGCTAATAAGAAGGGAAATCAAATAATGCTGGCAAGCAGTAACAAAACCAGCTTCAGAAAGCGCTGTCAGGAAGGAGAAAGATTAGGATAGTAAAATGCTAGATAGAACGATGGGCCATTTGCTTGTGTACTTGGTGACTCCTGCTCCTCAGCCACATTTTGGAGCTGGGATGGGGCAGACCTGCGGACAAGTCACCATGAAGACAGTTCAGAGCTGGCTGTTCCCACCACCTGTGCACGATTAGTCCTCTGTAGTTGGAACAAGGACACCCATCCTTTTTGGACCTCACACAGGCCCACCACTAACACCCAGATCCCCCTTTCAACTAAGGCATCTGGAAAGCCCTTTACAAATAAAAGAGTGTAGTGGGATATAAACTGTGAGGAAAAAACAACAACAACAAAAAAATCTTAATCTATATTGACCTGATCTCAGAAGCAATGTTCAAACAGCCTCTTTTCCTCCTGACTCCCCACCCTCCAATCCAAACCAGCAGTGACTGTCAGGACAACACATTGCTCATTAAAAGCTAAGACACGTTCAGCTTGGCCTTTATTATGTGTAGCTGATTCTCTCATGATATTCCCAGTTTGGGCATTGGTAAGAGAAAAACACCATTTCAGAACCTCAAACCTGAAACAAATTGTCAGAGAATTTATTTGACTCCAAAGGAATTTTTTTTTGCTTAGTAGCCTTGTTAAGTGCATCAGAGGGACACAGGAGAGCAGAGAGAAGGTCGCATGCTTCAAATCGCACATATTAAAGCAAGGTGACAGGGTGAAACAAAAGACAGAAACGGCACAAAGGCAGGGGAAAGCAGAATGGTCACCACTGCACACAGGAGGGCTTGAAGGTAGGCGGTTCTCTGCTAAACCAACCTGCAGGTATCCCCCGATGTGGACACAGGGGAGAGAGGGGGGAATTTTTCTGAGAGGGGGGAAGGACAGTCAAGGTCACTGTCCTTCTCAACTGAACAAAGCGGTGCCCGCTGCTCTTTTGTTTTCAATTTCACTGAGGTGCTGTCCTCAAAGACGTCATCATCTCCCATATCATCAGAGCAGAAGTCCGTGCTTTCCACCAGCACGCTGGAGGATTTCTCAGCTTGGAAGTGACTGGAATAGCTCTCCAGTTCGTGGAACTTATGCAGGCTGCTGGTGCTGGAGGTGTGGGAGAAGGAAAAAAGGTAACGCAACAGTTTCTTGCTCCTTGAGGTGTCATGGTCCACTTTGTCCTCCAGCAAGGGGATATGTACAGCACTGTTGTTCTCTGCTTCTCCTGATGCGCTCGAGTAGTTGGAAAGGGAAGGGATGTAGGAGTGCTTAGAATTGCTATAAGAAAGAGGCTTGAGATTCAGCAGTTTCCTCTCTTTAAGATGAAATTTGTTAATCCTTAAACACTGCTCTTGAGTTGGGGTCAATTTGCCTTCTGAGCGTGTTCGCTCCACATAGTCAAAGCACTCGCTGGTGCTCTGCGCCTTTTGGTCCACGTCATTGAGGGACTTGGAGAATTTCAGAGCACAGGTGGGCTTTGCATTCTTAGCAGACCTGAGTGCCTGTCCCCGATCCTGCCCACGGGAATTTCTCTTTGCTGCATGTAATGTGTCCTGACAGACAACTGTCACAGTGACCCCTTGTGTCAGAGGGCTCTGGCAGTGAGGATTTTTCAAGACAACAGCAGACTGCACTGGACTGTGATGACAACACTCAGAAAACACTGCACTGGAACTGCATGCAGAACAGTGGAATAAAAGCACAGAAAGTAAAAAACAATTACATAAGAGAACACATATAATTAAAAGTGAAGAAATGAGAATTACAGCTAGTGTGGGAATGGCAAACATAGCGGGGGCCAAACAGTCAGTGGGATTCAACGAAGCAGTGTTAGACAGCAGTTGAGTCAAACAGATGGGATGCTTCAAAGGGGAACCCCATATTGCTTACTTCCCCATACACGTGCTTTTTCAGCTTTTTCTTATTTGAACCTTGCACAAGCCTCACTGTATCCATGCAAACAACACACTTTACCTGCAGATGTCCTGGGTGGATGGCGTAACTGAAGTTCGAGAGAAGCTATGAGGAGCTGAGACAGAGGTTGGACTTCCAGCCTGCAGTGAAATTAAAACAAACACACACACAAAAAGCAAGTCACAAGTCAGAAGAGTTTGGTATACACAGCGATCGGCTTCAGGGTTAAACACAGCATATGGAGTCAGATATCACTTTACATCAGATATTCAAGGGCTAGTTGCAAGAAAGCAGCTTTGCTGTCAAACACTAAAAAGGAAGATCACACAGCCTCATCCTTGGAAAAGTAGTAATCAGAACAGAAATGTTTTCCCTCAAGGTCAAACGCAGTCATCTCTGGAGCGGAACCTGCCAGCTGTCAAACATTGCACAGAACAATAGCTCAGGAAATGAGCAATGCTACAGTAATTAGAATAATTAGATGGAGGTGTGTGTATAGACTAGTGGGAATTTAGCTACCACATAAGAGCTAATCCTTCCACTTATAATGATGACAAGAGATTAGAGGCTTGGGTTGCTTTTTTTCACAAGACAGAGCCATCAGTAATTCAGTAACTCAGACACTATTTGGGGACTTATTTGCCGTACTAGCATATGCACATGAGCACCATCTGCCAAACCAAACCACTCCCTGAAGTACTCTTTGTACTTTGCGAGGAGGCCTTTCATCTTGCTCTTGCTCTGACAGGGTCTTCCACCTACTTGGAGAAGAGGTGTGGCAGCAGTCACATTCCTAAGATCCAACAAGAGCACAGTGAGAAATAGAGTAACTGAAGAATTCAGAATTCAGCTAAACTAACTCAAAAAAATAAAGCTAGGCTTTTGGCATATTTAACACTTAATAGACAAGCCTCTAAAATCAAAATGGTAAGAACAATCATTGTCTCAGAGTTGGGGCTCAATGGGCTATTATTACAGGCGTTTTCTACCACTATATTCTGCGGGTCACTAACAGAAACTTCTTGACCCTTCCTAGAGGTTTTGGCGAGAAGACCTGTGTCGACAACCTCGTAACAGAGAATCTTTAAACCTGGTTTTCCCATGTTCCACAGCTGCTGGATAGGCTGTGCCGCTGTCGTGGTTTTAGGCTGATTCAGCAACTAAAACTCACACAGTCTCTCCTTCTCCAGTAAAGTAGAGAGGAGAGAAAAAAACCAAAGGGACTGAGGGTTGAGACAAGAACAGAGGGAGCACCCACCAACCATGGTCCTGGGCAAAACAGACAGGGCTTTCTCAAAGCAAAACAGCTTATTAATGATTACTTAGAAGGACAAAGGGAAACAAAAACCGATTACTCGAGAGGACAGAAAGAAACAAAACCAGATCTTAAAACCGACACCTTCCCCCCCCCCTTTCCTTTTCCTCCCGGCTCTA